GGAAAGGAAAGGAAAGGAAAGGAAAGGAAAGGAAAGGAAAGGAAAGGAAAGGAAAGGAAAGGAGTGAAATGGAACAGAACAGAATGGACAGAATAGAATTCTTTATTGGCCAAGTGTGATTGGACACACAAGGAATTTATCTCCAGTGCATAAGCTCTCAGTGTACACACATACAACAACAAAGTGATAGGTCAGAAGGTCATAGATCATAGTTACAATCATTAATCATAAGATACAACTAGAGAGCATTTCACTGAGGCTGCCATTGGTGGTTCCATCTTTAATGGAAAATCAAAATAATAATAAATTGTCAGTTCTATTAAAGAGGATCCTTAGGAGAAGTTCATGGTTCTTTGATTAAGCTGATAATATTTTTTGCTTGCTTTGCTTGCTTTTCTCAGAGATGGCAGATCTTTCCATTAGATTCTGATGAATAGTCATTTTTCAAGGAGCCAACATAGGCTTCTAATCTAGGCTGGAAAGTTAGTACATCAATATACAGTTTGACCATCAAATTGCTCTGTCACAATGGAAAGAAAAGAGAAAGAAGTCCAAATAGATCATAGTCCCTGAAGGCCCTACCTGTGGGATTTTGTAGGTGCCCAGCATGGTTGAAATCTGGATGGAGATGTCAGAGTTGGCCCCTTCAAGGAGAGCCAAGAGGTTTCTATGTTTTCCACATCTATAATTTGGGACATTGGTCTGTCCAGTTGAAAGTTGGTCCAACAAAGCATCTGATGTTCTGATCTTGTTGAAATAGTTGTCATGGATATTGTAGCCCAGGGTGATATTAGGTAAAATCTTGGGATCCCGGTTGATCTCCCGAACAGCAAAGTAGAAGGAGAGGATGTTCCAATGTTCTGTATGTCCTTTCCTGCAGATGTATGTGAAACGCATTGTTAATGTTCCAGGTAACAACCTCCAGAGAAAAAGATTCTGAGAATATCATCTTCCCAAAGATCCATTTCATTAGAGATGTCATATTGGCACATCTGGAGAAAACCCCAAATCTGAAAGTTCCAGGTTTTCCCTAGAAAACTCAAAATCCAACCCCTGCACCCAATAGTTCATCACATGGTCCAACCATTACTTGGTTCCAACTAGAGACTATCCCCAGTCATTCCCCTCCAGGTGCAGAGTAACATGTCCTTGACTTTCTGAGAAAGGAATGTCGTTGTGGCAAATTGTGAGATTATGATAAAAATAAAACAACAGACTATGATAATCAGAATCCGTAATAGGCTTTATTTGATATTGCAATATCGACCCCTGATCTCCCAGACCGCAATTTGAGAGAAAGTAGACAACCCCTTCCAGTAAATACAACCTTATATAGGATTATCACATTTAGAAGATTACATAACACTTCCTGATTGGCATACATAGAAATTACAGAGAATCTCATAAGAAATCCATGGAAATCACCCAACTTTCTCCACTTTTACATTATCCTGTTTTCTACTTAAAAGATTACACAAGAGATCATTAATAACTCTTATAATGTCAAGGAGACCCTTCATGCGTCTCAGACCAAGCCAAGGACATAATATTTTGCAATCTTACTGAGCATTAGCAGAATAACAAGTTATATAAATGTCCTGATCTCTAAAAGTTCAGATTAAGAACAAACGTGGAGTTTGTCCTGCTCATCCTCAGGTGTATAAGGTAAATTTCCACATATAACGCAAATTTTCCACCGCTCCTTGAAATCCCCCCCCTCCTGAATTCCCAGGCACTGAATGTTGGCAGCCCAGAAGCCTCAAAGAAAACTGGCCTCCAAACTGACACATGTGACTTCAGTAACAAAAATAATCCCCCAAAGCCCCCTGCCTCTTCTCCTGCCATGCTTCCCCCAACCGTGAGTCATGGCTACGTTTAGTACCATCAATCTTAGGGTACTGGCTACATAAATCTTGCTTTCTTTTTATTTGGATAGTAACCGGCACAACCAGGGAATCCCGAATTCTGGGCTGCACCCATCATCACATCACATAGCCCAATCTCTACCTGCTTCTTCTGCCAGCTTTGGAAGCCATATTTTATTCTTTAAAATCTTAAGGAAGGTAGACATCCATTTCATGTTAAACATGGTGCCAATGCACATCATAGAATCGTTGAATTCTTACTCTGATAGAATTCTGGAGTTCCAAAGCAAATAATCCAACTTCTTCTCATAAAGATCTACTAGCCACAAAGGAAACCAGTATCCAGGAAAAGTAGATCTCCAGCTCTAGTTTAAATGGCTCTAAGAAGGTGCCCAAACGAGAGCCTCTGAGGTATTTCAGTATATACAAGCAGTCCTTGACTTACAAACAATTCATTTGGTGACTGTTTGAAGTTATTGTTTTGACCAAGGCTTCCTGAAACCATAATTAAGATCACGCTTAGTTAAAATAACTCTTGTTTTATTTCAACGCTGGGAATTATGTTCATTCCCAGCCTGTAATGAGTCCCAAACAGTCCCTCGAGATAAGCACTCACCTTTCTCTCCTTTGAATTGCTGCCAACAATTAAAATGCCAAATGAACTATAAAAAAACCAATCGAAGTACAAAATCCTCACAGAGCTTCAAAGGATTAATCTGAACAGAACGAATAACATTGCTTCCTGCAAAGGTTTCTGTCCCTTTGCACTTCTTTTATACCTAATGGGAGGGGCAATCACCTCCAAGCCTTACTCCCGAGTTGTCCCTTTTGTCTTAACTGTTCTTGCCTTCTGGCAGCTCTGTGCACGCATGCACTGGGAACAGGCTCCCCTTGTTCCTCTGCCT